GATGTAAAACGCGCCTGAAATCCAGCCCGGGGGACCTCGCTGCCACACAGCCACCGGGCAGGGGGTGATGGAGGTGAACGCAACCCCTGCGGGGTGCGATGGTGTGGCTGAGGGTGTCAGTGGGATGGATGGGGACACTGGGGGTCTGGGCACCCACCCCCAGGGGCTTGGCTGCCGGATTCCTGCCCGGCACCCCCCAAGACGGGTGACGGAGGCACGAGGCAGGGCCAGGCAGGAGAGCTCAATGCAAAGTCTTTACTACAGGCAGGGTTACATGGAGGAAAAAGCAACAGCCGGCACTGAGAGGAGGGAGAGCGAGGTTCATCCAGAGGGAAAGGTCCGTCTAACAGGAGATGGGGCTAACTGCTGGTCCTCAGCCTCACGGGGACCGTTTGCTGGGAAGACAAGTACGGGGTGAGAAAAAGAACTTTATGCCGTTTCAGATGTGTCCTGGCAAACAGTCCGGAGCAGACGCAGCTGGGGAGGAGCGAGCGTGCAGGAGGAGGTGTCCGTCCCCGCTGTCCGACGTGCACTGGGCAAAGGACGTGGCAAGGGAACAGGGGACCGGTGCCGAGGAGGGAGGAGGATACCGGCCTCCCGGGGAGGGTGGTTTTGCTCCCTGCGGGGATCCAGCCAGAATTCCGTCCCCCAGTTCATGAGCAGTGCGGGGCAGCCCTCAGAGCAGGGTGCACATGCCTTTGCGCTTGATCTCGCAGGTGGCTGTCAACAGCCCCAGCTTCTGCTGGCTGTAGGGCGGGTAGCGCAGGGTGTTGAGGGCCTCCAGGCCCATATTGCGGTGCAGGCAGCCGCGGTGGTGGGTGAAGGTGTCGAAGGTGAACTTGCTGTGGTATTTCCCCAAGCCGCTGTTTCCTGCAACGCACAACACACAGCACAGGTCCAAACTGGCCACGGGACTCTGCTCCTGCCCACTCCGAGCATTGTCAACACAAAGAAAACTTCACAGGCTTTTCTTATGCAAATGCTCCCGCTGCTGAGCAACGCAGACACGGTGGGGACCTCACCCTTCCCTGCACCTTTTCCAGCTCTACAGCTACTCAGTCCAGCAAATCCTTCTGCAGCTCACCACTGTTTGGAGGTCCAAGTGCATCATTTTTACTGGCCTACTTTTATCCACATAAGCTTTGCTCGGTCTATGAGGCTCAGTTTCCCTCTACAACCTCTACAGTGCTCTACCATATCTACCACGCTACAGGCGTGGCCCCTACAAAGGTCAGCTTCTTCCTGGAGCTCTTAAAAATTGGAGCCACATTGGCAGCACCAGTTCTCCTGATTCCTGTGGCTGGTTTAAGCTTGAGGTTGCACATCGTGGTTAATAGCCCAATGACTTCACATCCGAGCTACTGTGGAAGCTTTGCTGAATGCCATCTCACCCCGATGACTTCAGATCCTTCACCTGACCGGGCTGCTATAAAATGGCTTCACCTGATAATTTGAGGCAGTTTGTCTGAATCATTTCCATAAAGATAAGTTACGGTATGGGAACTACCAAAAATTGTTCCCTGAGCCACAGTCAGGCAAGGAATTAATTGTGCTTTGCTGTCGTGGTGTCCTATTACATCTGAATCAGCTGCCAGCCCCGACAGAGATGCTGAGCATGGGCAGCATAAAACTGAAATATTTTCCCCAGAGAATATTCTGGGTAAGAGACCAGGAGACAGGGAAAGTATTCTGGGGAAACATCGTCAGAGGCTTCCTGTATTCCTGTGCTCTTCCCTGGACAATGCTACAACCAGGGCCCCGGGCTGAGCAGACCTCACAGAGAGAACAACTGTTGTTGCCCCTGGAGAGCAGAAACTCTTCCTCTTTGCTGAAGAGGATCTCCAAGTTACCATAACCAGATCTCCCAGACATTTATAAGTGTTTTGCTCCCACTATTTAGTCTTAAAAGGCAGAATGAATGTACAAGCCTGCTCCTGAGTGACATTAAGGGCTCCTATCCAGCACCACGCTCTCTGCAGGAGGAAGCTCACCTACCCTAGAAGCACAACGCCTCGGATGTGCTCCCAGGCGAGGAGCAGAGTGACAGATAGACGAAAGGGAGCAGCACTTGAGGAGCTCCCAGGTAAGCCTGAGCAGGGCAGGAACCCAACCCTGGCACAATATTCACTCACGGTGCCCATGCTGCTCAGAAACACCAAGGAAATACCCAAGTGGTACAAACTTCTCTACCTGTTATATGAAGCACTTCCACTACACAGGGAACTCTGTGCTTGGGACGGCAAACACGGAGAGAAGAAACCTCACAGTGCTCCACGCGTGTTCAGCAGAAGCAGGGCTGCAAAGCCCCAGAGCTCAGCCCTGGCGCAGTGAAGCAAAGGGCTTCTGCTGGGGTCCTACCTGTTGCAG